TTTTTAAAGAGAAGTAAGGCCTTACTTTTGATTAAAAAAAAAAAAAAAAGCCTTTTTAAGGCAAAAGACTCCCATTTGTGGATTAAAAAAATAAATAAAACATTCCACTCGCTGCATCTTATTATTTTTACATTAATTTGTTTAGTATTCATACCTGTACTATCTGTAAAATAACAATGTATTAGTATTGCATTTGTATGTAGAGCTGCAACTAACGATTACATTAAGAATCGATTTATCTGTTGTTTATTTTGTCAATTAATGAATGAATCAAAAATACGTTTTCATTTTCAACCTTTTCTTTCAAAACAAGGCAAAATGTTGGACATTGTTTTCCAAAGGCATTTTTGCACGTCTCATTTAAAAAAAAAAAAAAACAAACAAACAAAAAAATTGTCCAATTTCATGGAGGGCCACAGAAATCTGAGAATATTTACCTGAAGTTGAGGGGCTTTGGACAGGGTTAAATTTAAGAAGTTATCCAAACAAATAATCAATTAATTATGGTTTAATCAGTTATTGATTAATTGTTGCATCTCTACTGTTTTTCGATTATCTTTTCTTGAATTACTGTCAATCAAAATAGTTGCTGTAAAAAAAAAAAGGTTAAAAAAAAGGTAGTGATGGCCTATTAGACATGTACTTTAATTTTCATTGAGGCAGTTAACCGATGACTAAGATAAGAAAACTTTGTTTGTCTGACAATGGAGAAATCCCCAATTTACAGCAGCAAAATTATGAAAGGGAAAAAGTAGAAGACAAAAAGTATAGAAATAAATGGTTGTGTACATACTGTACAATATACTCTAATTGAATTATATTATTCTGACTACCGTATTTATTTTATTTTATTTTTTTGCTGTCACTGTTAAAATGAATGTTTCATTTGGAATTACTGTACATCATTTGAATCGAGACACATAATTTTGGGCTTGCCTTTTTTTTCGCTCATGTTAATATCTGTGTTTAAATCTGAACACGAGCTTACTGCAAATAAAAAAGAGGACAGACAGACAAACAGGCGAGCTGGCAGACAAATAAGCATGCAGAGAGACAGAAGAAGTTTGCCCTGTGGTGCTTCCCAGGCAATTCGGACCTCTGCTGAGCTGAGTCGTGCTCCCTCGCGCACACACACACACACACACACACACACACACACACACACACACACACAAAGCTCTTCTGTTCCTCCAGCGAGCTGCCTCACAGCTCGGCAGCACACAACAGCTCATTATGGAATCAAAGACACCCCCCACCACCATCAGCACCATTACCGCCATCACCCCCGTGCTTCCCAGTGCCTAAAATGTGTCCCCTGCCAAGCACACTCACTGTTACTAGCTCTGGTCGCACAGCCCCAGGCCGCCACCAAACTGTGAGGCCAGAAAGGCCAGCAGATACACACACACACACACATGAAAGCACACGTATAGACAAACAGCACCTTATTTGGTAGACCACTCGTCAGCCATTAGCAGCCCTTACAGAGGCCACAGAGGTCAGCCAGCTACTTTCCTTCACAGAATTTGTGGAGCACTTCAGTCATCTGCATCAGAGGACAGTAGGAGAGTGAAGGGACCCCAGAACAGGAACGTACATGAGACGCCTCCTTAAGTCACACGTGCCGAGTACCTTATCTGGTCATATGATGATTGTCAGGGGACATAATGAAGTAAAACTGAGCAGCAGCGGGAGGCGAATTAGAGCATTACACTTAATTATGCTCAGCTGGAAACCTGCCTGCAACAAGTGATGCTAGTTAGGAGCACAAAAGAAGAAATCCAGACATGTGATCTCCATGAATTGCCTGAACCTTTTCCCCAAATTTGAACATTTTCCCTCCCTTCTGATCAAAGTCAGCAGGGCCGGACTGTCAGATGTCTTTGAAAGATTATCGGGAGCCATTATCCTGTGTTGTGGGGTGTGCAAAAGGGAATTGTAATCATTGTAAGCAATGAAGAAATTGTGACTCTACCACAAAAAAAAAAAGCACACCAGGAACATATGTGCAGCAGTCTTAATATATACTCTGTATTATTATTATTGGCAGGAAATGATATATCATTATTGAAAAATATAATGTAAGACTATGTTTTAAAAAAGTATATATTTTTTACATTTTATTTTATTTCCATAGTGGTAGATTAATGCAGTATCATTTCCAATCAGCCTGTCATCACATGGTTAAAAAAATTGCACTGAGTATTGCCTTGTGTTTTTGTGGTTTTTCTTTAATATTGTGTAATATATTATTTCAGTGTGTCATGTTCAGCGGTCTAATTTTGAATTTTATTTTATTTGCAATCATTTTTTTATTATATCAGTAAATATTATGAAAGTATAACTGTAATAAGTATTTTTTAAACAGCAAGAAAATAAACATTCAGCATAAAGTCATATGGGTAGCATTCTTGCAGGAAATAGTTTATTCATTTTTAAAAAATGGGTAAAAATAGGATTATTGCATTAACTACAAATAAAATTAAACACTTTAAAATGCAGGAAAGGACTATGTTAAAAAGGATGTTTTGCCACATTATTTTCCATAGATTCGATTTCTGTTTTCACTGTCACTGTTACGTTTCAGCCACACGGGGGCGCTTCAACTACAGTCATTAAAAACTCACTGCTTACTGTCCATCCATTCATCCATCCATCATCTGACCTGCTTATCCTCACGAGGGTCGCGGACGTGCTGGAGCCTATCCCAGCCTTTTTCGGGCAGTAGATGGGGTACACCCTGAACAGGTTGCCATCTGCTTGCTGTCATGATCCTAATAACTTCTATTTTGTCCTTTATGTTTTTCCCACCGCGTGTCATCTGCCCTTCCTGTGATCTTCCTCATCCCACTTTGTTCATGTATTCAATCATCTTCGCTCCATTTTCATCTTTTACCTCAGGCAAAATGGGTAAGGGGTTATATGATTGCACTTGTTTGTCATCTCTACCTTAATTTGTTATTTTGGTTCTTTGTCCTTCTTATCCAAATCATGCCAACCTGGTTTGGGGGTCTCCAGAGCTGAACTGCCCTGGTTTCTTTTGGATACAATTTACACATAAGCGTCAGTAGCATTTTATTATATACCATGTTGTGTTGTGGTTTCCAAGCAACAGAGTTCATGAAATGATGCACTGTATTTGATCTAAAACCAAACGTGAAGTCTTCAGCAAAATGGTATTTGTTTTCAAAAAATTAATATGATCTTTTAGAAATGTGAATTAAAATTTGATGAAAAGACACCTCTGATTCTATGCATTCATTTTTATGTGCTTGTCCTCATTAGTATAGGTAAACGGGAGGCTATCCCAGCTGACTTTGGGCAAGAGGCAGGGCACAACCTGCACTGGTCACCAGCCAATCTCCTTGTACATGTACACAAACATCCATTCACACTGACATTCTCACCTATGGACCATTTCATTAGCCTAACTTGTGCGCTTTTGTAATATGTGAAGAAGAAAACCAAAGCAAGCACAGGGAGAACAATGCAAACTCCACACAGAAAGGCCAGACCTGAGATTTAAACTCAAATCCTCTCGGCTGTGAGTTGGATGTGCCTACCGCTGTTTTGCGTTGCCCCTAATTGTAATTCTCATGACCCAATTGGCTAAACAGAATATGCTTTTTGGCATTTCTCTCGCAGTAAAAAGTGCAAAAAGAAACAAATAAATATTCAGAAGATTGCGGATGTAGGCACAAATGTAATGTAAATGGAATTTCTCCATTGTGAGACAAATAAAGGTTTTCTTATACCGGTATTATCTTATCTAATAACATCACTTCAGAGATGTAATGAATATAATTTCTTAAAGTACAATGAATGAATTACCGGTAATAATATTTTAAGTAACAATTATTAAAAACCCACAGCATAAAGCAAAGCTTTACCCCCACCCCCCACACACACACACACACACACACACACACGCACACACACACACGCACAGTGTAATATCGACAGCAAGCTACTTAGAAACGCTTACGTGCTTAGCGAGAGGACATTCAGTGCCGCTTCACTTTCTGAGGTACCCTTATATTTTCGAGTACTGTAGTCTTAAAATTTACAGTACTTCCCCACCCCATCCCCCTCAATTTTTACAGTAGAGGCATGTCTAATTCCTGAAATTTGTTTTCTAAATCCCTTGATAAGTGGTAGGTAGCTAGCCAGCTAAGTTAGCCATTGACAGTTTTTGGTGTTTATGGACAAACTTTACATATAAGGTGATATTGTAGATTTATCTTTCTTGGTGATTGACTTGAAAAAGAACGCTTAAACTTGTTTATCACAAAACATCTATTTTAATACTCTATTCACTTTATTCCATCACCTCACCAGGAAAAAGCACTGCAGTGAACAAAATGCTGTACTATAATAATGTGTGGATTGACTTTCAATATTTCACGTCACAACAAATCTTGCACTCGCACTTCGGTGCTTGCCGAGATTCAATCATTTTTAAAACAAACCGAAAGTCAAAAAGTGGACACAGATGGTAAAGTGGATCCGTCCACCTGTAAGAAAGTGTGGTGTGCAAAATGTGCAAGCAAGGACAAGCCGTATAATTATAATGCAACAGTAAATACTGTTTTTATTAGGTGTTTAATCATACAAAACAACACACTGTGTTTGTATCTACTGATAAAAGAAGAATAAAGTGCATTTTCCTCTTCTGTACAGTACATGTTTTAAAGTTACTTGAATTCTATCTTAAAGTGGAAGTCAACACAAAAATTTACTTCACAATATGTTCTATGCACCTTTATCAGTCTAAACATGGCATTCTGATTAATGTTGTGTTTGTGGAATATGAGTTAAGCAGTAAAATCCACCTGTTTTTGTCCATCTCAGGGGGCGGCCATTTTGCCACCTGCTGTTGAGTGACAATGCGGTCACAGTTGCGCCGAGCTCAAGTAACAACCAATTATGGCTCAGTTTCAGAAAACAGGTGAGCCACTTAGAACATATTATTGAAAAGAAAATTTGGGGGTTGACTTCTTAACTCATGATTTTTTTTTCTGCTGTTGCAAATTATGACATCTCCTTTTTGTAATGTTAAAAGGAAAAAAAAACTAGATTTAAGCAGTGAGAATACATGCTTCATGCTTCCTTTAAGAATGTGTTCTCACTTGAACACAAACTAGCTGTCGGTTTCATTCCATTAAAAATGAACTCTGGTGTGATTTCGTTTGATCATATATCAATGATACCATTTATGCCAAACAAGCAGAGACCACTAGAAATGGGTGGTCCACTCATATAAAAAAATGTCTGATTTTGTCAGCCAAAACACATACAAAGTAGCTCTTGATGATAGTTGCTTTCAACTGAGCGCCATTGGTCAGTTTTAAACAAACTCAAGTTTGTTCCCTTACCCCTCAGTGCGGTTCCTTTTCTCAAATATTCTAAATGGACAATACAAACGCTGGCATGGCTTGGTAACGGTGACTCAATTAGAGCTTGTTAAATGTATTCAGCACATACACCAAACCTTGTTCCTGTTTAGAACCCTGTGCCTGCCACCGAACAAAAATAACTTGGTTGAAGACACTCGGTTTGTCGTGATGTATTTCAGGTCGCTTTGATCGTTTTTTTTTTTTTTTTTTTTACCTTATGAGGAGTAACTGAAAAAGGAGGGAAACAAATGGCCAAGATTACAAACCCAGTGACTGATTTGCACAGGAGAAAGTGAACTACAGGTGTGATAGCACCCTAACATGTCATATTTCTAGCATCTGTGTCTGATGTATGAATCTGAATTAAATTGATTCGTTCCATATTGAAATAAAAGCACACTGTATTTACATAAAATAAAATAAAATTGTGAAATCAAGAACAAAAGCTTGATTCCTTCAGAGATCATACACAGGTTATAGTGACAAAAACAAGGAAGTCTTTCAGATGAGCTTGGTGATGGAGGTTAATCAATGCCTCGGTTGATCAATGCCGATGAAAATGTACAATTCTAGAAACCAGAGCTAACCGAGACACTAGCTGATACCACACCTGCAAAAACTATTGTTTCTTGTCATCACATGTTCAAAAAGTGAATTGACTCTTGAATTCACCATTAGTGCAATGCTTTGGTTGGACGCGCTCAAAGAAAATGTTGGCCTTTCGCTTGCCTCTTCAGACTCCAGATTCCCGACTGATGTATAAAGGTAGACCGGGCTGCAGTTTGTCCAGAGCCATCTGGTTCTCGGTCTCCAGCACGCATAGCATCTCGAGCATCTGCTCCTTTACGAGTGTCTCCTTAAAGCCCACGGGAAGGTCATCTTGCAAACTTGCTGCTCGTTCACATTTAATCCCCAGGCTGCCTGCCTCCCCTTCCTCTTCATCGTCTCCACAACAAAGTGCAACCTCATTCTCGTAACAGAAAGCGCTTGGGGAGTGGAGGGCGGGGAGGTGGCGGGCTGCCCTCGGAGCAAAGGGGGATGGGGACCGCGAGAAACTGGAAATGGAGGATGAGGGCGGCCGTCCGTTATCTTCCTTTTGACCGAGCTCCCTGGCACTGCAGTATGGTGTTGTTGGCACTTCGTATGTCTTGTGGAAGCGAGAGTAGTCCACGTGGTAGCGGTTCCCCTTCTCAAAGACCACCGGTTCAAAGCGGTGACCCCACAAGATTTCCTTCGCCAAATAGGAGCTACGGGCTTGAGTGGTCATCGCCGTGGCTTCAACCATGCCTTCCAGGATGACCACAATCTCAAAGTCTTCCTTCTGAAGGTCGGCACAGCTCAGGTCATACAGAGGACTGGTCTTGTTGATCTCGTGGACCACCACAAGTGGCGAGACTAGAAACAACCGATCCAAACCGTCATCGTAGCCGACGTCAATGTCCGTCTGCTCCAAAGGAAGGTACTCGCCCTCTGCCGTCACTTTGGGCTTAATGAGCTGGGCACGCACATGCGCTTCCACAATGTGGCTCTTCCGCATATTCCCCAGGCGCCACATGAGGCACAGCTTCCCGTCCCGCAAGGCGATGACGGCGTGATGTGAGAAGAGCAGAGTCTGAGCCCGTTTCTTGGGACGCACCATCTTGGCCATGATGGTGCCTATCATGAAGGAGTCAATAATACAGCCCACGATGGACTGCACCACCACGGTCACCACAGCCACTGGGCATTCTTCGGTGACACAGCGAAAGCCATATCCAATGGTAGTTTGTGTTTCTATGGAGAAGAGGAAGGCCCCGATAAAGCCCTGGATGTGCAGGATACAGGGACGCCACTTGTCCTGCCTGTCCTCTGCCTTGCTCTGAGAGTCTCCTTCCTTCACAGGGAAGTGAAGGTCAAAGTCTCCATGAGCCAGCGCCACTCCCCAGAAGACCAGACCAAAAAACAACCAAGACAAAAGGAAGGTGGCGGTGAAGATGAGCAGTAGGTAACGCCAGCGTATGTCCACACAGGTGGTAAAAATGTCAGCCAGGTAGCGACGTTGCTTATCCTCCATGTTGTCAAAGACCACGTTACACTGGCCGTTCTTTTTCACAAATCGGCTGCGCAAACGACCGGTGCTCAGGTCGACGCCGGCGTGTCGACATGACGGCGAAGCCTGGCAGCTGTTGTGGACAATTGAGTCATCCGTCACTCTCAGAGACAGAGCCCCCCGTTCTTCTTCGCCTGCAGGATATTTTCCTGCTCCTTCATCCTCGGCCTGCATGCACGACCCGGTCAGGGTCTGCTGAGTCAGAGGACTGTGGCCATTGTGGAGGCCCAAGGCTGAGATCTTCAGGGCATCTTCGTCCGTGGAAACAATGCTGTATCTGGAAAACAGAAGAAGAGTGTGTCCTTGTGAACATTGAATGTCTTCCAGTCTCGCCCAAAGTTTCGGTTGTGCTACCAAGCCTGACAAGTTAAACACATGGGATTAATCCATCCCTTTCTAACAGCTGATCCTGTCATAAGGGAAGCTAAAGTACATCCCAGCTTGGGTTGGCATCGAAGCTTGACGATCAAATTTTACATTTTCGGTTACCCGTCTCAATGCTCCGTCTGCTGACCCAAAGAAAGAAAAACTGCCAGAGACCAACGTACGTCTGCAATCAAGTGCGGCTTAACTTTGTTTGCTTGGTTATTCTAAAACCCATTTGCAAAAAACTCTTTTTGAAGGGTGTCACGTAGGAAAAGGAAAAACCAATCACATTTGGGTTCTGTTTCGGATAAAAGCTGGGTACCGGTAAGGACTTTAATTTCTCTTTTCACCATCACATCATTTGTTTGCGCTGGGTCCAAGTGGGGGCAATGAACCATCACATTCATCAGATTGATCTGTAGTGAAAAGCCCGCTGTATGTCACAGGTCATGCCTACTTTGTCATTTGCATTCCCAACACCCACACTGGAGTAGCACGGTGTCATGTCATGACTTTCCAGCCAATCAAACGAGATGAAAGATCCCTGCTGAACTATACATTCACGGCTGTGAGTGTCACATGCATCTTTCCACTATCATCCGCTATCATCGACAACAGAGCTCTGTTCCTACGGCCCCGTAACCTCTATTTCCAACTCCATCCAGTAGTAGACTCATAACTACAATCAATATTTGTATGAAAAATGTTTCAAGTCCACAACTATAAAATAATTCCATTTCTGAGCATGCCTTCTTGTGTTATGCAATCTAATTTTTTGCATGGAAACCCTCTGTACGGTTCTGCAGAAAGACAAAAAAAACTCTCGTATCTAATAGAAGCCCATACTCTACATCTTAAAAAAGGTTAAATAATATATCAGAACTTTAACAGTCCCCGGTCTACTTTTTCAAGTTTGGTATGTACTGCACATTTCCTGTATCATACCTGTTGACTCGCACTGCTCCCATGGCAATGGTGATCATCAGTCTATGTCTGCAAGGGCAGTAATGAAGGTTGGGACGGGCAGTTCCAACCATGAAAATACTGTTGCCGGACTGAGATGCAGTATGAGCTCAGGTCTGTCTGGCATTTGTGACCAGCGTCTTCTCATGACATTTTCTGAGAACAAAAAGAATGCAGAAAAAGTGTGACACGATAGAACGTATTGCACAAAAGACATTCATTTTTGATTACACAAGTAAAACACAATTTAGCACAACATACCAGGGTTATAGTGTAATAGTTTGGGATTTTTCAAATCATTAGGTTTTATTTTGTTTTGACTTTTGCTTTTTTAAATTCAAGGGGAAGTCATGCGCCACTGCGAGTCTCAGCACGGCATTCTGATTCGTGTTGTGTTTGTGGAACATGAGATAAGCAGCGAAATCCACCCATTTTGAGCCATCTCTGGAGGCGGCCATATTGCCAATTTATGTCACCTGAAAATGACATCATAGCTGCTGCGGCCTCTGGGAAAGACCAATCACGGCTCACCTGTTTTATGAAGCTGAGCCATGATTGGTTGCACGTTGCAACTGTGATGTCATTTTCTGTCGACAGCAACTGGCAAAATGGCCGCCCTCTACAAATCCAATCTCAAGTTAGTTAATATTAGTTTCGTTCTAATTAGATTAGATTATTTTTTTAATATATGGCGTATTTGTTGAGTTTAAGATTAAACAAAAGGTCACAATAGGTATTGTGTAATAAAGTAAATTAAACTACAGTTCTCAAATGATTGTTTGACCTTCCTTCTTCTATAAGGACCTACAAAAATAGCGCATGAACCCTGAAAGTTGTATGTATGACATAATTGACAAAGACGAAAATGACAGACATTTTTGCTATAATTACAGTTAGTTTTAGTGACTTCTAAATGTAATATGAAGTTTCAGATCCTTTTCATTTTTTTCAAAGCATTGTTTGACTTTATTTTATTTTGTAAACGAAAACTGTTTTTTCAACTTTGGTGTTAGTTATTTTATCAGTTTTAAGTGATAATAACCTTGCAACTTGCTCACTCTGGTCTTATGAGAATTTAGTAGGATTTGTAAAAAGTGAGTGAAATCGTTCGAGTAACATGAAATTGGTTACTTTTTAAAATTAAGAAAAATCCGGTTGGTGCCTGACTTTTGATGGTTTCCAAAATATCCAAACCTTCAATCAAATGACAAAAATAAAGAATTTGGCCTTGCCCTAATGCACGGGACAGACAGTTTTGCGTAATGAAAGCTTATTGATCAGGTTCTTTCTAGCGGTTTGCCTTCGGGAGCTTCAGGCCAACCAGGGGTGGAAAACCAGACGGGCATCGGTGGGGACAAAGGTCTAAAAAAGACATATATCAGTGGTAATCTACTGTTAGAGGAACAATTGATCTGCTGGTTGGCCCGATGACAAGGTTGTAGGGTGATTTTGCTGGGCTTATTATGTCAGAAGCAGCAGAACCAAAAAGCGCCATGTTGCATAACCAATAGCGGGTCAATCGCATGCAATCCGAAAGGGCACCGGTGGTTTGTGAATCACTTTGACGTGAGTGTGTTGTGTTCAAGCAAAATAATGGATGGTCTTGGGAATATTTCCAACAACTGCAGTTTAAAAACCATTGTTCGATACCCGTGCGGAATCAACAACTCCGATACATGCGAAAGCATTCAAAGACTCTCAAGTACACATCTTGATGGGATTTAGTGTCATGTAATGTGTGTGACGATCTCCCAGACTTCTTTCCCTGTTGTTGCACCAAGGACAGATGTCGCCAACCGGATGCTGATTGGCCGGATCCCGAATGATTTTCAACTGGATAATCCTGAAAACGGAGGATGACGTCAGCGCGACGACTCCGGCATCTGGAGGAAAATGTCCTCTGAATGAAAGCTCAGCCTTTTTCCTGACAAAGTTCTTAAAAACGAGCGGCTCCGTAAGCAACACGCAAGTGCACAAGTCACACATCAACTGCTTGGCTTGACAGTCACTGTGTTAATGCAAGTTCACCTCTGATCAAGTGTTGCATTTTATGACTATTAACTGCGGCCATGGAAAGAAAAATTTTGTATACTATTTACAGTGCCAATCACAAAAAACCAAAAAAAAAAATCAAATTTTCCCTTAACGCAAAACTCAAATTAGCTAACCAGATTCAGATCTGTTTGCTTTATTTTTGTCTAGCTACCGTGCCGCCAATGAACTTTAAGACAGTGAATATGTCATCGTTGTTAGCAATAAGCTAAACTTTGTTCAATTTACGATTTACTTTATCACTGTGATAATAAATTCAATTCCATTCGAGACGAGACATTTCACGCTTTCCCTATACGCATATTTTTAGAGAAATGTTCAGATACTTTGGCCAAATAAAATTTGTTGCTTCAGCATGAGTATGAAGCTGATATCTCTGCCGACTTGACCCCTGGGGGGGGGGGGGGGCTTTTAGTAATTAGTGGTTGCCATAGTAACAGTTGTCTTCCATTGATGAGGCGAAATCCCTGTGTTTTGGGTGCATTTGTCTACTTGGTTTACTCATTTGGAGGGTAGGAACTCTTTTTAGACACTTGATTAGATACCTTTTGCATCTCAAAGGGGGTAAACATTTCAGCCAAATGTACTGATACTCAGTTTGATTGATTTAACAATATGCTAAATATTATGTAGTTTGGAGAAATGAGCTCTTGTAATTTGGTCGTCGTCAGGGTAAAATATTACAAATAGTTCTAGAGCACAGCAAACAACTGCAAAAATAAAAGCTGTTTGACAGTATCCATTCAAACCAAGTAGTGAGTGAGCAAACCGACAGAAGTGAAATTGCAGCACATGACATGAATCGGCAACCACGTGACCTAATCAAGATTCATCGGGAGAAATCCCTCATGCTTGGCGTCAGCCTTATTCAAATATGTCAGCGAAACCAACGTAATCTCATGCAAGGCAAAAGATGGCGAAAGCCCCAGTCAAATACCAGATTACTAGGCCTCATAATCTCTCAGTCCAAACAACAATATGAAAGGTGGTTGCCGCGAGACCCGATCTGAACTATCCAATGTCATCTGCAATCTAATGATGTGATCGGAGGGATAAATAATGAGAAGAGAGGACATAAAGGACAGAAAAAATGTATGAGGGAAAGAGCCTTCATGAAAAAAGTGAGATGTTGACAGATTTGTACAAAGTGTAAGGGGGAAGAAGACAATAGAGATTAAGATGAAGAGATTATGACATCAGAGCACGTTACTGGACCTAATGGTATTTACTAAAAAAAATAAAATAAAAAAAAGGAGAGAATGAAAGTGTGAAAAAAACGCAATGTGTTCAAAAGGATGATGAAAATACAAAGTAGTTTTGATCACTTTATGCAACACTGTGGTTCTCTTAAAAAGCCAGAGTATGACCTCAACAATAAATCAAATTCTGAAAACAATAAAAAAATAATAACATACGATATAATAAACAGAATAGTATCATTTCCTTTGTTTTCTACATCTCCATGACGGATACAGCTGACAATTAAATTACAGTACTCTAAACTAACGATGTGATCTCATAAATACAATCTTAGCTTCCCTTTGTTGTGTGCATTTCTTCTTCTAAATTCTATTGCAGGTACATTACATGTGCTGTAAACTATGCAATCAAATTGTGACTTTGAAAGCAGTTTCAATGATTTTTAGTGTTATGGTCCAAGATGCACGTATGCCACTTGAACATCAGAATACTTTATGGGCAAAGAAAGTAGAGCATTAGAACTCTTCCAATCCAAATCTGGTATGTTAAAAAAAAAAAAAAGTTTGTAACATTGCATGCTGATTCATTGCTGTATAAACACAATCATACTATATGTTTAAACAAATCATTCAAGAATGGAGATAAGATTTTTGCCAGGCTCCATAAATTGTCTGGAAGACTTTTTCGGTTTAAGTACATTTTCCCGACACAGGCAAATCATTAGGGACCCTTGCCTGGAAGTTCCCGAACTAGCATAACACATGTTGAAAATTACAAGGAAGTTTCTGTCATCGACTGCAATCAATGGTTCAAAGTATGCGGGCGCAAGTGATGATGGGGCAGCTTGCAGACAGAAGCAGCATGTGTGACGTATGTGGGCCTGATTGGGGCCACAGGAGCTGTCCGGTGCTGAAAATCGATGCACGGCCTGCGGGAACGATCGACAGGCGCGAAGAGGGTGGGGGAGTGGTTGGAGCCCCAACTCTTCCCTAAACTGGAAAATGATTTTGTCCATTCAGATTATTTTCCCCTCACTCTGTTTACACTGGCCGCATGTTTTACAGTCAACTTACTCAGCCAGATGAACGTTTTGTTGAACTATCGATCCACGTGTTTCTGACCATTTGGGGTTTCTTATTTGAGTTTGAATAGAGATTCAAAACGGTTTTATATTTTTGTATTTAGCGCAAAAGTGAATTGAATGCAACAACTAGGCAAGATATAATCAAAGCAAACTACATGTCATCGGCATGTTGGTCATATTTTAAATTAACCATCGTCCAACTAAACTATGACACTCACCTTGGTTTTCCGGCAGTGTGAATCAATCGAAGATTGTCATTGGATTCATGCTGAGTCAGGTCACCGCTCACTTCGCGCCACACTCCAATATTTACGCCACTTTTTTTCGGTGTACTTTGTCTTGCACAAACTTGTAAATGTGTCCAATCTGAGCTTGGTCATCGTTGCTCCATTGCGGTGAAGCGTTTCACTGCTGCCTCGCTTGTGCATCTGCCTCGATCTGTGTTTGCCTGTGTGCCTGTGTGCCTGTGTGTGTGTGTGTGTGTGTGTGTGTGTGTGTGTGTGTGTGTGTGTGTGTGTGTGTGTGTGTGTGGGAGAGAGAGAGAGGTCTGATTATCTTCCTATTTACATTTGCTATTGTTTTTTTTTTCCCAATGTGTAGAAATATGCTGTGATTTAGCCTTTAGCAAAGTCAGACTTCCTAATAATTTGGAATGTCACAAAATTTCTAAATGTATACACCTAAATGTTTTTTTTTTTTTTTTACTTTCCAGCATTGTTGGTATAGCATCCCCCCATTATCTATACCACTGATTCTCAAACATTTGTACCAAGTACCACCCAAAGAAATAAAACAACATTAAAACACGGGTGCATAGTAGAACTAAACAAAAACAAGAAAGAGACTGAATTCCCAAAACTTTAGTATTACAAAAAAAAAAAAATCCAATAATAAAGTCCAATTTTCATGTGAAAAACTCTCTTATACACAAAATCATTTTGCAAGGTGGGAGAAAGAAAGAATCATTTATGACAAAGTTGTGATATTTTGCGGAAAACAACACCGTAGGATTTACAAGAATACAATTGAAATATTATAAGAAAAAAATAAATCTGAAATTTTTCAAGACTAAAGAAATAATAAGATTTTACAAGGGGAAAAAAACCAACAAATAAACAACACTAATATGAACACGATAAAAGAAGTAAATTTAATCTTGGTTAATTTTGGTCTCATCAGTCAGCTACCCCTTAAAAGATAACTACAGAGGAAGTGAGCAACTAATTTAGGAAGTCATTTCAAACTTCAATTAAAAAATATTAAGGGAGAAGTCAACTCAAAAACTGTATTTACAATAAGATTTTTGATGCACCTCCGCTAGTCTATACACGGGGCTCTGATTAATATTGCCTATGTGGAATATGAGTTCAACAGTCAAATCCACACGTTTTTGTCCATTTCAGGGGGCATCCATTTTACCACTTCCTGTCGACTGAAAATGACATCACAGTTGCTCAAGGCTCAGGTAACAACCAATCCTGGCTCAACCTCAGGAAACAGGTGAGCCGTGATTGATCGTTACCTGAGCCCTCAGCAACTGTGATGTCATTTTCAGTGGACAGATTTTGGCAAAATGGCCGCACTCTGAGATAGCTAAAAATGGGTGCATTAACTCACATTCCTTAAATGCAATATTCATCAGAATGCAGTGTTTAGACGAGTGAAGGCACTTAGAACATGTCATTGTAAAGAAAAATTTAGGGGTTGAGCGTTCCTCGATTGTCCTAAACATTCAAGATAACTGCACAGAAGCTATTGCTTTACGGCAGTGATCCTACCCAAGCCGACCTCAAATGCAGGCCGGTGCCAAAAGGAGTGATTAAGTTAGTTGTCATTATGTGCTGATTAAAAAAGGTTATATAACGGTTATTTGTGTGGTAATGACACAACTCTTAAAATGGTTTGCAAGTGAAAGTGTGTCACCTCACTTTGGGACATGTAATTTTGAGGGGAGTGAGACAGCAACAGTCTTCATAGCAACCCTATTCATGGCTTTCGATGTCCTTTGGCTGTTTCTAAAACCACAGCACCCCTGTGAAAAAAAACAAAGATAACAAATAAACAAATTGATTAGGCCGTGTCAAGAACAGTACTGTGTGTACACGTTGCTTTGAGGCTATGCCTTTCTTTGAAACATCATTGCAAATCAGACCAAACTTTTTAGTTTCCATGGCAACGGTATCTTCGCCGTTCTCACGCATATAAATACACATACCCTCCCGCCGCGCAGTTTATTTTTAAAACTGCATTCTTTTTTGTTTGGTGCAACAACAGGTTGGGGTTTAGGTGCGTAGGAGGATTCTATATTGCGGCGCCCAGAAGCGTGGGCTGAGGTTTCGGAGTTCGGTGGTTCGTCGGCGTGGGCTGACAAAAGGAATGAGTGGGCTGAGATGAACTTGCCGTCCGAGGAACACGATGTCCAAGTAACACGTTTGAATAAAGCCAAAAGTTGTGACTGTTTCTTTCGCAGCTTGATGATTTATGGACACATTGTCTTACAATCAGCTAGTCCAAAACATGCGCAGCACTTAACGTGGGTTGCACGTTATTACATTCGTTGTTGATTCAACATACTGTTATGGGAGAAGCATATCAATGAAAGGGACCCTGTCTAATAAAAAAGCAAGCCAAATTTACCTTGTTATAGCCTTGCAGTTGGTAGAATAGCAATAGGAAACCAAAAAATGTGTCTGGGGACAAAACAAGGTAGTCGTCGTTGGACTGTTGAATAGATATCAACAGATAGATGAGACATGGTGGTGGATTCGTCCAGGGATTCATAACTGGTGTCTGCTTTAAAGACTGCCACAAGAGATCTTGCGTGCTGTCATAAATTATCCATTTTCAGTTATTCGGTCCAACATTTATTTATTTACGACAAAGGATGAACAAAGACGCATTTATCCTTTGTTCATCGATCTATCCCAGTGACGTATGGTAACAGGCAGAACAATTAAAAGCTCAGCCAATAAATGTCAGAAGATACAATTCTCCTGTGTTTCCAGCGATTGACATTCATAGATAAGAACAGCTTTGTGTTCAATTAAACAGGCCCAGATTTTAATACGAAGCAAGAAGTTTTTGTTAGAAAAGTGAGAAAATCATGGTAATGTTTCAGATCATCAAACAAATGTCATGCAAGGATAACCCAGGTTTAACATAAAAGCAGTTCAATCAAGAAATTATTAAAATACTCAATAAAATATTTTTAGTGATTTCCTTCTGAACACATTTTAACAGAGAACATTTTAGTGCTGAGTTGCTGAACTATAGCTGAGAACATAATTTTCTTTTTATCTTTCAAGTTGTGTTGCTGCACATTTTATGTTCAGATATCCGTTGTTTAGAGGGTAACAAGTTACAACATCGCCTGTGTAGTTGGTTTGAAAACACAACTTTGTTTTATGTTTACTTTGACAGAAGCCGAGAATGGCAATAAACAACTTGAATCCTCCAATAATATTTATTGGTATTGTATTGAAAAGTGAGTTCTTGTTATTTTGTTTGTTTTCGTTAACTATAATAATCTTGACTTGGACACATAAGTCTAAATGGCTTCATCTTCCAGACACAAAGAAGGTCAGTTCTTGAGTTAAGCACCGCAAACCCTCAACAGAATCATAGTAACTCTCCTCTTTATTCCATTTTTAGATTTCATAGGCAGATGATGAGGCGTGTTGGTGTATTTTTTGTCTCTGTGGCCCGCTTGATGACTCCCAAGCTCAAATGTCATGAGAGCCAATTACTCACTTTGAGAGCTCATCCAGGTCAACATGTTTTTAGAAAAGCAGGCCGAGTCGTGCGGGAAGCGTGTGTGTGTGTGTGTGTGTGTGTGTGTGTGTGTGTGTGTGTGTGTGTGTGTGTGTGTGTGTGTGTGTTGGATTGATTTCATCTCAATATGAATCAGAAAAAAGTAGTCAGTTTAAGAGGGTTTGTCAAATTAGCAAGATCAAGTACTCTTCAGTTTTCAGTGACACTGTGATGACGACCCATTAGTTTTAAGAGTATGTTTATTATCATGATTGTCGTTTGAATTAATGCGGGATGTCACAGCATCATATTGAGAGTTGTATATTGGACTTTGTACACTCATATAGGTACCGGTAAATTGGGTTTACCGGACATTTAAGAAACAACACACTTCTTGTATTGGCTGTACAGCTGTATCTAATGCTGTGGTTAGTAAGTCAAATCATGCAAAACACATTTCGAGTCTCATCGAGAACACAGTATTTGCTTGTACTTGGGCTAAATTGTGAGGTTAATTTGGTAACTTTACTGGAAATGACACAAACATGCTTTTTAAGATTTGGCATTTGGCAAAAAGGCTCAGACACTGGACTTTCTACACTTTTACACCAATTAAACTTGTCAACAGCAGATTTTAATGTTGAAAAGTGTTATTTAGCCCACTTTAATTTCTCAGAGTCATGCTGATATGGACACTCTTGTCATACTATCTTGATAAAAATTATGATGGGTTCAAGCCAGCGATATTGTAAACAACAACATCGATTTTTAACGAAAATACTATATTTCAGAAAATGACGACTGAAAGTAACTTCATCAAGGGTTTCAGTCATGCTTTCTCAACATACAGCTCATGATCTATGAAGCATTGATAAGAAAATATAAAACTGTTGTGATCTAATAAATGTATACGATGACACATTTACAGCTAGTAAATGTGTCATCATGATAAAAAGAATCTTCTAGGGCCAGAGAATATGACACATAAAAGGGCCTTTTTTTAAAAATAAATTGAAAGATGGATTATCCATTCAGAAATATGACATGCAAGTTCAAAGGATACTAAAACGGAAAGCTGCAGTTACTGACGTCCGATTCCAAGCATGATCGCTGGTCCCGATCAATATCAGCCCGAGGGAGATGAGGCTGAGTGTGGCAACAGGGTTAGGAGTGTGACCTCTCCACTGAGGTCCTCTCCGCTTAAGATCACGCTTATTACGTCACATACTGGACTACAGCGTTCTCGGAAAGTCTTTCTATGAATTACTTGAAGTGGTATATTTTTTAAGTAGGAAACAAAGTGAGTATACTGCCACGTACATGTCCAACAAATCTGACAAGGTGGACCAATTGACCCCAAAAGGTCTCCAGTGGGGTATTCCAACCTTTGTCGAGCCAGGGCACATATTTTACATTGCATATTGTCATGGCACCCCACCGGACAAAAAGAAGTCACACAAAGTATGAATACTAAAATAATGATGATAGTATCTCAATTTATTCACAAATGTACTTGCTCAGTGTGAAATCTGCCCCCGTTTAGCTGAACACAAAGCCGACATAATTGCACAACGGCGTCACCTATTTTGTCGATTGGCAATAGTTAGTACCTTCTGCTATCTATGACATCTATGACATGTTTTGGCCTGTTGCAATACATCACTCGCACTGATGGATGAACAAAGATACATTATTTGTAGTCAGTAAATAAAATTTATAGGACCAATTAAATGAAATTGAATTA